GGGAACTCTCTTACACTGCTGGTGGGAATGTAAATTGGTCCAGCCACTGGGGAGAACAATTTGGAAATTCCTCAAAAATCTAAAATAGAACTACCATATATGATCCAGCAATCCCACTCCTTGGTATCTACCCAAAGGACTGAAGAACTCGTCATCAAAAAAGTGCTTGCACATCGATGTTTATTGTGGCACTATTCACAATCGCTAAGATCCGGAACCAACCCAAATTCCCCTGTACAGACGAATGGATTTAAAAACTGTGGCACATATGCTCTACGGAATACTATTCAGCCATTAAAAAAAAAAACAAAACAAACAAAAAAAAACCACCTGGCTTTTGAAAGAAAGTGGAAGAATATGAAAGATTTATTACTGAGTGAAGCAAGCCAGGCTATGATGGACAGTCTTATTTTTAAATGTTCTCTCAAAAGTTTGATCTCTGGGGAACCAGCAGCTAGAGTAATGGCTATGTCGCTGGACTCCCACATAGTTGACCGCGGTTCGTGTCCTGGGATTCACGCCGCTGGACTCTGCGTGCATGCCCAAAATCCTGAGAGGAGAATGGAGGAGAGGGGATTGCGGCGTGACCATCCCCCGGGGGATGATTTCTCTATGTCTCTCTCTGTCTGTCTGGCGAGCACACACTCCCTATAGCAAAAAAAAAAAAAAAAAAAACTCTCAAAAAAAAAAAATCAAGAAACTAGTATCTGCAATGGTTTATATCAGAGTCGGCAGTAAATAGATTGTTTGCAAGGAGATTCATCAGAACTACAAGTTTGCTCTTTGTTTGCAGAGTATGTATCAAGAAAAAGAAAAAGGGAATTTTAAGATAGCAAGATGTAGCTCACTTAAGAAGCAGTGCAATCTAGTATTTCTGAGATATTAAGATATGTTAATAGGTATTGTTTATCTAGTACCCACCCAGCCTGTTGACTATATCAAGGAAAGCTTTTGGCAGGCCAGAAAACAGAAGTAGATAATGAGCTTCTCTGGATTTTGTGTTCTAGAGTGGGGAGAATAATAGGCACGTAGACCCTATGTCTTGAGCAAAAATTTGGAAGGAGAATGCCACCACTGTCCATTAGATGTGACAGGAATTATTTCAGCCTTGGAATGGAAGAAAAAGAAGAGGGTGCCTAATTCTGATTCTTCACAGAGCCATTTGGGAGAGGTGGGAGGGTCAGTTGCGAGGGAGGGAATAACTGCAGCCAGAGGGACCATCAACAGACTCACAGATATTCCTGTGCCTCAAGGGGCATTTTGAACGGCCAAAGAAGGAAACAACTCATTTCATTGATATCTAACGTAGCTTGTCCCTATTTCTAAGGCATTTCAAATAGGTAAATACATAAATCAGAAAAACATATCCCTTGTCAAAACAGACATTCCAGCTTTTGTTTCAGATGTCATGATCTTCTGAAAAATCCAGCAAAAAGGAGTAAATGTCAATGGTTCTAAGAGCACCAGAGGTACAGGAACCAAAATTAGATTCAAGCCCGAATTTGGAACCAACAATTTAGCTTATAGCACCTATTCAGTGCAGAGATAAAGAAAAAAAATATATATATATATATACACACATACATACATGTTCATGATACAGGAGCATGAAAGAAATTCAGACCAACAATGTCATGTCAAGCCTTAAAAATGAAAATCAATACTTTATTGCAAAAGAAAGTAATATGCACAGATGGGAAGCAAAGAGACATATTAAAAAAGGGACCCAATGGGTGCCAACATACCCTGTGAGTGCCTAAGAACCTTGATTGATGCGATCATTAGCAGACAGGACTTGCCTATATTCAGTTGATTTGTTCATTGTTAAGTAGTTCTACCTAGCCATTTTTGTTTTTCACCTGATTGTTCCCCCAGAGAGCACATGCACTTGCTGGACAGGGAGAGAGAGAAAGCACTTCCCCCATTCAGCATGCTCATGCTATAGTCTCCTCTTCAGTTCTCCCTCCTGTCAGGATCTTGGGCACACACACACAAGCCCAGCGTGTTTTTCTAGCTGCTGGGTCTGAGAGTCAAATCGCAGTCAGGCATCTGGGATCTGGTCACGCTATGGGCTGGCCTCCTCACCTGACATTTTAGATGACCGTGATTTCTGACCCAAAATTCAGACAGTCTGATCTGACAAGAGAGAGAATTTTCTGATATGTGATCTATACATTTATTGGTGTAATATAAATATGAGAATCAACTAGGTTAAAGATTTAGTCATTCCAGTGGAAAGAATAAAATCCCATGAAATTGGGTCTAAGCTAGAAAATCTAACACATATGGGCATGGGACAAGGAAAACTGGGCTTTCCAGGAGGGAGAAGCAGTCTGGAAGCTGTTGGTTACTTCTGGCAGCACAGGAATTTGGTTCAGGAAACCTGATCATTCTGTGAGTGCATGGTCTGCTTAGCATCACGGGCCAAGGAAGACCTTACTGTCATCTGGGGATGATAATGAGAACAGAACGATTCCACAGGCTGCAACGAAGCACTCACTGGGATCCAATTTCCTTTCACTTCATCCCTGCAGTCCCTGGTCTGCTGTCAGCGGTTTTCTACGTGCCCCTTTCTGTCCTAAGCACATGCACTGTTCCATGGATGTCTGAGGTTTCTTTCCAACAGACAGAATCCTGGGACAAACTTTTCTGCATGTTTGCCAAGTCTATTAGTTACATCTTGTGCCTTGCATCTCAAATTAATTCATCAGCAGATGAACATCTTGGCCAGAGCAAGATGGTGAATATTTCCATTTCTAAATAGCAGGAAATCATCACAGAAAATAAATGTTATTTCCATTCATTGATGACTCTCTGCCATGTAACTATTCATTTAATTTTTTAAATAAAAATTTAAAAACAAGCCAGTTTCATGGTTGAGGGTAAAAGCATATCGTTTTAACTTTTGGTTGGGGGTAAATCATGAAAAATATAGATTTCTCATTTCAACTTTATACAGGAGATCTAATAGCATCTAATGAAACATGTACTTTTATGGATGAGTACTTAGAGTCACGAAACAGCAAGGTCCTGCTTCTCAAACTTGAATGTGATTCACAGCCATCTGCGATGTGTGTTGACAAGTGAAACTTCTAGACTTCAGCACCACAGTCTTTTCAGTGGGTGTGGAGGGGAAGACCAGGAATCTGCATCCAGGAAGGTAAAACTCAGTCATCTAATAACCACCTTAGGTGATTCTGAGGTGGGGGTGGGGGGTGGGGGGTTTAGAACACACTGTGAAAATATAATGAGATCGTCTCTGGGAGCTCACAGACAGAAATGGCCGAGTCTCAGTTCGGGCTTTCAACACTGAGGTAAGGTGCAAAGAAGGCAGGTGAGGTGCAAGGCATCACCCCCTTGTGCCTGACCCTCCCTTCTGTGCCCTGCACTTCACTGTCACCTCACCTTCACACTTTCTGTTAAAGCCCTCTAAGTTAGTGATTATAATGGAATAAAAATTTGAATGGCACAGTATAAAACACAACATACAGCAGTTGACTATTAGAGGCCTATAATAAACATTAAGTATTTTATCATTTATCATTTTTATTTCACAAAGATTGAAATGAGACTATAGTTAACTTGTCCAAAATCACCCAGCAAGGAAGCACAAGAGCCACACACAAGCCCACGCTGTTAGCACATGGCCCTGGACAGAGTGCAGCAGCTCAGTTTTTGCTCCTTGAAACTTTTCTGACATCAAGTACACCCAGGTTCTTTTCTAGGCCTTCCATTTGTTGGCCAGTGACATTTATTTGAACCTACTGAGAGCAGAAGGTCAAATACAGAAATTAAAGCAAAGGTCCTAATTGCTCTTCCAGCTGCTCTGGATCTCAGGCCTCAAAGTACTTTTCATTTGCATCATTGTGCTTCTTCACTTCCTCAGGAGCACATGCGGCCTTCCGAACAGAGTTAGCAGTTTTCAAAATTGTTTCCTGAGTCTTATTCTATTTTTCTCAAAGAGCAGAATGGTTTAGAGTACACAGAGAGCTGAATTGCATCCCTTGGCCCCCAAATTCATAAGTCAAAGTCATGACCCTAAAGGGACTATATTTGGAAATAGGGTCTTTAGGGAAGCAATTACCATTAAATGAGGTCATAAGGGTGGAGTCCTAATCCAATTGGATTAATGTCTTTATAAAGAGAGGAAAAAGAGACACTGAGATTTCAATCTCCCCTTCTCCACACACATACAGAAGAAGGCCCTGTGAAGACAAACTGGCAAGGCCATAGTCTATAAGCCAGGAAGAGAAAACAAATTTGTCAGCACCATGATCATGAACTTCCAGCCTCCAGAGATATGAGAAAATAAATGTCTGTGGTACAGACCACTAATCTATGGTATTTCGTTATGGTGGCCCCAACACACTAACATAAAGTAGCACTTAATTCATGATAAAAGCAGAACCAAGAATTCTCTTGGAAAATAAAATGTGCATGTATATTCCCTCACTACAAAATCCAGAGCCTTGTGGACTGAATATTAAATGCCTCCAAAGTTGAGAAAAGGCACTCAGTACCCCTGAGACTCAACACCCTCTCCCAGGCCAACCCTGCTATCATCCACCTGATCACAACACTGCCCACCTTTCTACTTGGTACAAATGACTACTGGGAAAGAATGGGAATTTTCCAGAAATCTGAGGCCTCAGCCTCTGGGGAGTATTTTGGCATTTCTAGCCCCTCCATGAGAGGGAATATGGAGACTCAAGGTGCTAGTAAAATGAGGGCCTATCCTAGTTGTTTTCATGATGTGGTCTGTGGCTCTCAGGTATCTCTCAAGACCTTCATGGGTTTACAAGCTCAGAACCCATTTCATAAGAACCCTGAGACATTATATGTCTTTGCTTGTATTCATTCTTGCACTAATAGTACAAAAGCAGTGGAGGCTAGAGCCACTGGGGATTCAGCACAAATCAAAGCAGTGGCACCTAACTTATTAGTAGTCATTGTATTTTTCACTCCCACAAACTCGGAGTAAGAAGGGGAGAAAAGATTCACATATGAATGTCTTTAATGAAGCAGTTAAAATTATTAATTTTTTTGAATTGTAAAACTTAGCTACTTTTTCAAGTATTCTGTGAGAAATTGGATGGGAAAAAGCACTTATGGTGCATATTGAAGTACCAGGTTGTCTTGAGGAACAGGACTTGTGTGCTTGACTTGCAAGGTGATTTTCTTTTTTTTTTTTTTTTTTTTGGAGAGGTTTTTGCTATAGGGCGCATGCACTCGCCAGACAGACAGAGAGAGACAGAGAGACAAAAAGAGAGAAATCATCCTCCAGGGGGGATGGCCATGCAGCAATCCCTTCTCCTCCATTCTCCTCTCAGGATCTTGGGCACGTACATACATGCACCCAGTGTGAGTTTTAAGCCACCAGGTCTGGGATGCGAACTGCGGTTGTCTACATGGGAGTCCAGTGACATAGCAATTATGCTAACTGCTGGTCCCAATTTCATTTTCTTTTATACATTCAATCACATTATTTAGCTTACAAAGTGAATATTTCAACATGTGATCATTTCTTCCTAAATCAGTTGATAAAACTATAAAATTATCTTCAACAGATATTTACATGGACTACTATATTCATTTACTATTGTATCTTTAACAAACTGCCACAAACATAGTGGCTTAAAGCAACACAAAATTATTACAGAACATTTCTGGAGGTCAGAAGTCTAACATGGGTCTCACTGGGCTAAATTGAAGGTATCAGCAGGTTTATGTTCTTTCTATAGACTCTAAAGGAGAATCTATTTTCTTGCCTTTTCCACTTTCCAGAGGCTGCCTTCATCTTAGTTCACAGCCCTCTTCTATCTTCAAAGCCAGAAGTATGGTATCTTCAATTCCTACTTCTCTCTTTTACTTATAAGGATCCTTGTGGCTACAGGCAATCTGGATCATCTATTTTGAGACCCTTAACTGAATTACATCTGCAATGTTCCTTCTGTCATGTAAGGTAACATATTAACAGGCTCCAGATTACTGCATAGCTATTACTGTGCTTTTCACAAACACCATTTCACATGAAAGAATGAATAATAGATGAACTATGGTTATTCAAACTTGGAATTTGGCAGAGTTTTCTCACTATTAACAAAACAAGCCTGTTAATTGGAAAACAGCTTACAGTATTTGTCACCAAACATGAAATTCAAATTTTTAAGTGAAAATTAAAAATGGGAAAACTTATGTCTGCCACAATTAACTTGACAATTTCCTGATACTTAAAGGCTTTTATAATGAGATTAATAGTATGATTCTTTTTTTAGGATAATAAATAATGAAATGTGTCCATATCTGGAGCATCTTATTAACTAATTGAACCCATATTTTTCCGATGATCGCTGCATGATGTAATAAAATTATGCAAGGGGTAAGATTACTCAATGTGTAAAGTAGAACAATGGGTTTTAACATAACAAAGTATGAACAGTTCATGATATTGTTTTAGATCTCACATTGCAACCAACCTGTAAGACACTATCACCTGTTAAATTTTGATAATTAAAGACTACTCGCAATTACCTAAAAAGACTATCGCAATATGTTTCCCTTTCCAACTGTGTATCTCTTAGGTTAGCTTTTCTTTGAATATCTTAACAAAAAAAATCACAGCAGATTTAATGCAGAATAAAAAATGAGAACCCAATAAGTCAGACACTAAAGTTATCTGCAAAAAAATGAAAAACAAGATCTCTCGTCTCTCTGACTTTGGGAAAATATAGTTATTTTTCATTTTAAAAATTGATTACAGGGCCAGCTTGTGGCATGATAGTCAAGGATCCCATATGGCCAGCTGTGTGGTTTGAGTCCAGGACCAGAAGCTTGAAAAACGTGCTGGGGATTCGCGTACATGCTCAAAATTCCAAGAAGAGAATGAACAGATTGTGGCTTGGTCGTCTCCAGTGAGACAGTGACTTCTCACTTTCTCTCCCTCTTTCTCTCTCTCTTTCTCTGTCTCTCTCTGGCAAGTGCACATGCCCTATAGCAAACTAAAAAAAAAAAATTACTGTGTTAGCATGTAATTGGTTTATTAATTTCTTAAAAATTTTTTCAATTTTTCCACTTTAATTCCTAATATGGTCCATTTTAATAGCTAACACACACACACACACAAAAGTTCTTTGGAATATTCAATAATTTTTAAGACTGTAAAGCAGTCCTGAGACTACGAATCCTGTAGCTTCCAGACCAGAAAACAGAACTGAAGAGATGGACAGAACTAAGCCACAATCAGCTGCAACAATGGTGTGAGTGACCCTGAGAAATGCAACTTGGATCATTTTCTCAATGCCCTGTCCCTGGGGAGAGGAGATCCTAGCACGAAGGTACTTGGAGACAATAGACAGTCCCCATCAAAACCTGGAGAAATTCATCGTACACCCCATGAGGGTGTCAACACTTTGATACCTGCCACAGAAAGTCATCAGTGTTTGTTCAGGGTTATCTAAAAAAGCAAGGGCAACAATGAAGTGTGACATTTGTCCCTTTTCTTTGCTCTTATAAAAGCCCCTAACCACCTGAGAGACTAGAGACCCAGAAAGAGAAGATGGAAGATCTCAGAGGACAGCCACACACTCCCAAAACGGAAAGGATGCAGGACTAAAAGAGAAGACTACACTCTACGGTAGAGACTGAAAGACTGGAGAAATAAAAGCAGTAAAATGGACACTAGAAACAAAGTAGAAAGAGCGTGTGGGAGAGGAGGAGCATAGGAAAGGAAAATTGAGGGGGGGGGGGGAAAGGTAAGACAATTGTGAGACACAGATAAGGTTTTTTATCTGTTGATGAGGATGTGTAAATAATATCAGCTGGGCTGGACTGGTGTAGATCATACTGGGTAAAGTCTCTCCACAATCTAAATGATGTATAGCATTTTAATGTATGAATAATAATTTAAAAAATTGATTTTAAAAAAATTTTTTAAAAGGTCCAATTGGCATTAAGTCTTTTTACCTGCAAATCTGATTGGTAATGTTGGAAACTGGAACTTTAAACTTGACAGATCTGTAGTAATTTAAGGATCTGGCAAGTCACTGAATCTATCAAAGAAAGATGCCATCAGGAAATGTCCTACTAAGTGGTGTGAAGCTGTGGAATATTCCCCGAGACTACTCTCACCTCTGGCACCAATGGCAGATTCAGAGCTTCCCAAGACCATCCTCAGAGTTGATCTTTGGCAAAAAAGACTCACAGAACCCACAGATACACTCAATTATGATTTATAGTTTATTGGAATAGTATAGATTTAAAATCAGCCAAGAGAAGAAAGCATGCACAGAGTATGAATAAGTTCCACACGTGATATTTTTAGTTGTTCTCTCCCATGGAGTCATGGGCAGCATTAACTTTCCCAACAACAATATGGAGCGACACACTGAATATTGCCAACCAGGGTGGTGCACCCAAGTGAGCCATTACTGAGGCTCTGACATGGGTACATAGCTGACTGCTCACGTGACCTTCTGGAGACAGAGCTGATACTACACAACCCAAGCCCCCACCTTAAATCACATGGCTAGACTGTCCAGCATGGCCCAAGGCACCCAGATAAACAAAGATAGCTTTATCAGGCAGGATATTCTTAGAGCATAAAGATTACTTCCCAGGAGTCAAAAGCAGAGGCCAGATATCTCTGGACAAAATTAAATTATTTGCTCTTCTGAGTCGAAAGGAGATTCACCTTAATGAAGCTGGTGGCAATGACTAGCAAAAGGTAACAGGAGTTCATGTTTGTGCTCTTCCCACTGACCGCAGACAAGTGGCTTTTCTCCTTTTCACCTAGACCTGCACTTCCTTGCTGTGAGCCTCTGCTGGCACTGGTACGGGTGGCTGTGCATTGGTGTAGCTGTTCAAACCCCTTCCCATCTGAGGACAGGAAGTACCAATGAGTCTAGGCAGAAGTAGGCAGTTTAGGCAAGACCACAAGGGATAAAATTCCAACATGACACCCACTCATTTTGATTAACAAACTCTTCTTAAAATACAAATATACCGGAAGAGTTAGGACATTGATATCTTTCACGCAAGCTTCTATCATCAGTATTATCTCGCTGCTTTTCATTCTGTAAACTGAATTAAAACAATCATTTGTGGGAAACAGAGTTTTAAATACAATGAGTCATGGATGTTTTCTCATTCAAGCAGATTAGTTTTTGATGCCAATTCTATTTCTAACTTTTTTTTTACTAATAGTGTCCAGAGCTTCTGGAATTTCTCAAGAACTACCCAGAAAGAGACTTTTCAAGTGATAATCATTTAGTGGTGTCTGCCTGGAGCATAATTTTGAGAAGGTTTCAAAGGCCACACCTGGGCTTTGTTAGAAAATATGTGGTAATGCATTAGTAAGGTCAGAGGAGATTGGTGCCTCCCATTCCTCATCCTGAATCTAATCATTTGACCTCCTCAGGCCAGATGCTGCTCTTGGAGAAGCTGAACCACTTGAAAACCCTCAAACCAAAGACTTTGACTCTGTGGCGCCCTCTAGTTCTCCAGTATAAATTTCTCCCTTGGTGATAATGATAATGGTCACTCCTAGTGACCCAGACACTATGTACCACCTAGCCAACCTCATTGGCTCCAAGGTCATATGTAATACTTGTTCCTTCACAGTTGTAGTTACAGTCAATTCCTCTGAATGTTCCAGATGCCAGCCCCAAAAAGGAGACAGCAGAAATAGGACTTCATTTCTCCAGAGCAATGTTCTATAAACATTTCCACTCCTGGTCACCCAGGAGCACTAATTTCCACATACAAGATTCTTACCACATTTCCACCAACAGCATCAGAGTTAACATATGTATATTTACTGTGTGCCAGACACTGTGCCAAGTATCTTTGATAATCACACCAACTGTCCAAGTCACAAAAGACTGTCAGCCCTATTTTATTTATAGATATATTTTTTTTGCCAAGAGTGAAAAACTTACTTTATTGAATACTACATATAATCAGGCCAGTAATAATTTAAAATTAATATAGTAATGAAAGTGAAACAATTATATTAATATATTTTTTTTTACAGTTTACAAACTGTTTTTTTCCCCATCATGAATACAGTGCATATCAGTCAAGACAAAGAGATCATCATATACATTATGTTCGGCAAATAATTTTTCACCTTCTTTCAGTTAAATGTAGTTTTTTTTTTCCCTTTATCCCCTCCTTCCCCCATTACCCATCCCCTCTGCCCCCACCTGACTATCTCTACTATCCACAGTTGCCCTCCCTGCTATTCTACCTTCCAGTCCTTCAGTTTCTGCTGTACAGCACAGACATTCCGTATATATTGAGCAGAGACAATCAGAGTCTGTCTTTCATAGTCTGGCTTGCTTGATTTAGCATTAAGTCTTCCATATTCATCCACTTTGTATCAGATGTCAGGTTCTCATTTCATTTTATGGCTGAGTATGCCATAGAGTACATATGCCACATTTTCTTCAATCCAACCCATCTATTTTGGGTTGATTCTATGTCCTAGCAATTGTAAATAATGCTGCAATAAATATGGATGTGCAAGTGTTTGTCTGACTGAGGGTTTTCCTATCCTTTGGGTAAATACCTAAGAGTGGAATTACTAGGTCATAACATGCTTCTATTTGTAAGTTTCTAAGGACTCTCCATATCATTCTCCACAATTACTAATTTACATTCCCACCAAGAGTGCACCACAGGCTCCACCACCACTTATCATTATTTTTTTTTTTTATTCGTAGCCATTCTGACTGGAGTTGAGTGGTGTCTCATTGTGACTTTGATTTGAATTTCTCTTATGATAAGAGATGTTGACTATGCTTTCATATGCTTTTGACCTTTCATATGTCTTCCTTGGAAAAGATGTTCAGTTCATTTTCCCATCTTTTAAGTGAATTGATTTCTTTTTTATGTGTAAGCTGCTTGAGTTCCCTGTGTATTCTGGTTTTCAGACCCTTAACTGAGGTATAGTTTGCAAATATATTCTCCATCTCTGAGGGTTGTCTTCTCATTCTAATTACTGTTACTTTTATTTTTTGAGAGAGATTTTTGCTATAGAGTGCCTGCGCTCACCAGAAAGAGAGAGAGACAGAGAGAGAGAAAGTGAGAAATCACCCCCCCAAGGGGGATAGCCACGCCACAATCCCTTCTCCTCCATCCTCCTCTCGGGATCTTGGGCACACATGCACACATGCCTGGCGTGAGTTTAAGTCACCAGTTCCAGGCCTCAAACCACGGTCGACTACATGGGAGTCCAGTGACATAGCCATTACACTAACTGCTGGTCCTCATAATTACTGTTACTTTTGATGTGCAGAAGCTTCTCAGTCTAATGTAGTCCCACTTGTCTATTTTTGGGCTATTGTCTGCACTTTGGGGATCTTCTTAAAGAAGTCTTTGCCAAGCCTGTACTGTTGCAGACCAGGGAGGAATAGCAGCAAGTGAACACAACTGAGGCAGTAGACTGCTCCAGGCTTCTTCCTGCCTCCCAACCACCAAATTTCTACTTACCACCAAAGGCAGAAACTGGAAAGTACCCTGCACTATATTGGCTGTCTGGTTTAACTTGCACAGAACAAAATTTTATATCAAAATCTGGTTATTATCGAGCAACCTCAGAACATGGTCTTAGCGTCATTGCTTCAGATACTAGCCTTCGTGGCTGTAATATTAAAGGGCAAGATGACAACTGGGACTTCAGCACTGGGGCTGGGTTTTATGTGGATTCCACTGAGGAACTTTTGAAAACTAACTATAGAATGTACTCTTATATAACAAAGAAGCTTCCTCAACTTATAAATGCCAATGTACCAGTGGACCCCCAAAGGATGTCTATTTTTGGCCACTCCATGGGAGGTCATGGAAATCTGACTTGCGCCTTGAAAAATCCTGGAAAATACAAATCTGTGTCAGCATTTGCTCCAATTTGCAACCCAGTGCTCTGTCCTTGGGGGAGAAAACCTTTTAGTGGATACTTGGGAACAGATCAAAGTAAATGGAAGGCTTATAATGCTACCCATCTTGTGAAGTCCTACCCAGGTTCTCAGCTGGACGTATTAATTGATGAAGGAAAAGATGACCAGTCTCTTTCAGATGGGCAGTTACTTCCTGATAAATTCATAGCTGCCTGTACAGAAAAGAAAATCACTGTTGTTTTTAGATTACAAGAGGTTTATGATCATAACTACTACTGCATTGCAACCTTTATTACTGATCACAACAGACATCGTGCAAGATTCCTGAATGCATGAAACTTCAGGTAAGAGAATCTCTTCAGGGTCATACAAATTATAATAAACAAATTGCTGAAAAAAAGATTTCAAAACATTGGATTTCTTAGTGTTTAAAGGGCTTTATTCTGTAGCCAAATCAACTTCTGAATAAATATGCAAAACCGAAAAAAAAAATTAGGACTTTTAGAGCTAGAGACAGTAATACATGAGATCAAGACATCACTTGAAAATATTAATAGTAGACTGGACCACACAGAAGACAGAATCTCTGAGCTGGGGGGGAGAGAAAAATAAAAAAACTTTTGACTTAGATAAAACCACCAAAAATAATGAAAAAATAATTTTAAAAAGTGAGGACAACGTAGGAAAAATACTAGACTCCATGAAACACCCAAATATTCAAATAATAGGTGTATTCCAAAAGGTGAAGAATCAGACAAGTGCATAAAAGCTCTACTCCATGAGATACTTGCAGTAAACTTCCCCAACCTAGAGAAGCAACCAAACATCCAGACTCAAGAAATACAAAGGATCCCAAATAGAATCAACCCAAGAAGACCCTCTCCATGGCACATTATAGCCAGATTGGCCAAAATCGCAGATAAAGACAGAATACTAAAAATGCCAATAGAGATGGGACCAGTAGTTGGCATAACGGCTATGTCACTGGATTCCCATGTAGTCAACTATGGTTTGAGTCCCAGATCTGGTGGCTTAAACTCACACTGGGTTTGAGAGGTACATTCGTGCCCAAGATCCCAAGAGGAGAATGGAGGAGAAGGGATTGCGGCGTGGCCATCCCCCCTCGGGGGTGATTTCTCGCTTTCTGTCTTTCTGGTGAGCACACGCACCCTATCACAAAAACCTCTCCAAAAAAAAAAAAAAAAAAAAGGCGAGAGAAACATCAAGTTACTTACAAAGGGTATCCCATCAGGCTATCATCAGACCTCCCAGAAAAAAATGGAAAGATACACTCAAAGTGTTAAAAGGAAAACAATTTCAATCAAGACTACTACACCCGGCAAAATTATCCTTCACATGGGAAGAAAAGATAAAAATATTCTCATATAAACAAACTTACCAACACTAGGCCAGCTCTTCATGAAGTTCTGAAAGGAGTGCTTTACCAAGAAAACTAGAGAGACAGACAGAAATAAGGAACAAAAAACAACCAAGAAAATGGCTAATATAATGGTATGGACAAATCCAGAAATGCCGATAATAACATTGAATGTTATTAATGGATTAAATTCTCTAATCAAGAGGTACAGACTTGCTGAATGGATTAAAAAACAGAAACCCTCTATCTGGGTCCCTACAGGAAACACACCTCATGGATAAAGACAAACATACACTGAAAGTGAAGGGCTAGAAAAAGATATTTCATGCAAACAGAAACCAAAAAAGGGCTGGAGTCGTGATAAAATGCCTCTCAAACAAAAGAGACATTAAGACAAAAACTGTAAGGAAAAAAAAAAGCATTATATAGTATTTAAAGGGGTAATTCATTAAGAAAATATAACACAAATATTTACGCACCCAACACAGGAGCACCCGAATATGTGAAGGAAAGACTGCTAAATATAAGAGGAGGAATAGACTGCAACACACTAATTATTAGGAATCTCAACACCCCACTATTTCCTTTGAACAGACCATCTAGACACAAAATAAGCAAAGATCTACAGGATGTAAATACCGTAAGTCAAATGGACTTGACAGATAGCTGTAAAACCTTCCACCCAAAACCATGAAATATATATTTTTCTCACCCCCACATGGAAATTTTTCGAAGACTGACCACATGATAGGGCACAAAGCAAGCCTTTACAGATTAAAAATTATAGAAACCATATCCAGAATCTTCTCTGACCATGATGAAATTAAACTTGATATTAATTCCAGAAAAAAATCCTCAAAAATAACCATATGAAAACTAAACAACCCCTTCTTGAATAATTTCACAACTACTGAAGAAATTAAGAATGAAATCAAAAGATTCACTGAAACCAATGATAATTAGCACATGATCCATAATCTATGGGACACCGCAAAAGCATTCATAAGTGGGAAGTTCATAGCAATTAGTGCACATAAAAAAGATGAAGAGGTGGCAAATGGACAACCTAACATCATGCCTCAGGTAATTGAAAAAAAAATCCAAAAAATACTAGGAGAAAAGAAATAATAAGGATACAAACAGAAATAAATAAACTATACGGAAAATAAATAATCCAAAACTTGGTTATTTGAAAGGATAAATAAGATTGACACACCATTAGCTAGACTAATCAAGAAAAAGAGAGAAAGGAATCAGATAAATCAAATATGCACTGAAACGGGCAATATTACAACACATATTATAGAAATACAAAACATCATCAAAGAATCATCAAAGAATACTATGAATGGCTATACGCCAATAAACAAGAATGCTTGGATGAGATAGACAAATTCCTGGACATGTATAATCTACTCAGACAGAATCAGGAAGACATAGACTGAATAGACCCATAACAAGCAATGAGATGGAATCAGTAATAAAAAAAACCTCCCAAGAAAGAAAAGCCCAAGGCCCAGTGGCTTCACTTCTGAATTCTACAAAACTTTTAAAGAAGAGTTAGCCTTCATTCTACTCAAATTATTTCTAAAGATCCAAAGGAAGGGACTCTCCTAAATTCATTTTATGAAGACTCCTTCACCCTCATCTTCAAAACAGGTAAGGAGGAGCCGGCCAGCAGTTCCGGACACCAGGCGGACTGAGGCTGCAGGCCCGACCCTACTGAAACTCCACGCATCCCCACCGTTCTTCCTCCTTGGACTCCAGGTTGGTTGCCTGGGACTTTAAGGCGAACCCCCACTCCTTCTGAGGGAGCCGGCCAGCAGTTCCAGACACCAGGCGGACTGAGGCTGCAGGCCCCACCAACCTGGTACTGTCATTCCATAAGAGAAATCATCAATCTTCTAAGCCTGTACAACTTTTATGAATCAGAGATACCTGAAATAAGTTGGCAAGAAACATATAGATTACCTGATGACTAAAAACAATCGCAAAGGCTCAAGAAATATGAGCAACCAACAAAAGGCCTCTCCGTCAAGGGAAATCATCAATCCTACATCACCCACAGTCAATACAATGGACGTCGTGGACATGTCTGATAAGGAATTCAGAATATTTGTAGTGACCAAACTAACTGAGATGGAAGAGAAAAGAGACAAGGAGCTCCAGGAGATGAGGAAGTCCTTTAATGACTTGAAAGAAGAAATGGATACCCTAAACAAGAACCAGATGGAACTTCTAGGTTTGAAGAATGTGATAGAGGAAATCAAAACCTCCCTTGAAAGCATTAAATGTAGGTTAGACCAGGCAGAAGACCGAATCTCTAACGTAGAAGACAAAACATCTGACCTAGATAAAAGTATCAAGAAGATTGAGAAAACAACCATGAAAAATGAGGATAATATACGAGGAATACTGGACACCATCAAGCGCCCCAACATTCGGATAATTGGTATTCCGGAGGAGGAAGAAAATAATAAGGGCCTGGAAAATTTATTCCATGAGATCCTGGAAGAAAACTTTCCAAATCTAGAAAGGCATTCAAATATCCAGACCCAAGAAATACAGAGGACCCCAAGTAGAATCAACCCAAGAAGATCATCTCCAAGGCACATCATAGCCAGACTGGCAAAAACAACAGATAAAGACAAGATACTAAAGTTGGCAAGAGGGAAACGCCAGGTTACTTACAAAGGTCACCCCATCAGGCTAACATCGGATCTCTCAGCAGAAACAATGCAGGAAAGGAAAGAATGGGGAAGCATAGTCAAAGTGTTGAGTGAAAAACAATTTCAACCAAGAATACTATACCCGGCAAAATTATCTTTTATATGGGAAAAAAAGATAAAAACATTCTCAAATAAACAAAATTTGAAGGAATTTACCAACACCAGACCAGCTCTTCAAGAGGTTTTGAAGGGAGTACTATACCAGGAAAACTAAAAAATCAGAGACAGTTATACGAGAACAAAAAACAACTAAGAAAATGGCTCACTTAATGATAGGATCAGGTATGGAAATATCGATAATTACATTGAATGTCAATGGATTAAATTCCCCAGTTAAGAGACATAGACTAGCTGAATGGATAAGAAAACAGAAACCCTCTATCTGTTGCCTACAAGAAACTCACTTTATGGATAAAGATATACATAGACTAAAAGTCAAGGGCTGGAAAAAGATATTCCATGCAAATGGAAATCAGAAAAAGGCTGGAGTAGCGATATTGATCTCAGACAAAATAGATTTTAAAACAAAGACTGTAAGAAGAGACAAAGAAGGGCATTATATAATAGTAGATGGGGTAATCCAGCAAGAAGATATAACCCTTATAAATATCTACGCACCCAACTCAGGTGCGCCTAAATATGTGAAGGAAAGACTGCTGGAGCTAAAAGGAGACATAGGGAAAAATACTATAATTGTTGGAGATCTCAACACCCCGTTATCTCCTATAGACAGATCTTCTAGACAGAAAATAAATAGAGAGATACAGGACTTAAATGATACTATAAATGGAATGGGCTTGACAGATATCTATAGAACTTTCCACCCTACATCCACAACATATACATTTTTCTCACCCCGACATGGAACCTTTTCAAAGATAGATCATATATTAGGACACAAATCAAGCCTTTACAGATTCAAAGGCATAGAAACTGTACCCAGCATCTTCTCTGACCATGATGGAATTAAACTCAAGATTAATTTCAAGAAACAACCCCGAAAACACACGAACACATGGAAACTGAACAACCTACTTCTGAATGACTTCTTCACTACTGAAGAAATTAAGGCTGAAATAAACAAATTTATGGAAACAAATGATAATGAGGACACAAGTGTCCAGAACCTATGGGACACAGCAAAAGCAGTCATAAGAGGGAAATTCATAGCAATTAGTGCACATAAGAAAAGGATGGAAAGATGGCAAGTAGATAACTTATCATCATGC